AGTAAATAAAGTTTCAATAAATTCGCACGGTTTATCCAGCTTCTGATACGCCTCCATAAACCTCGCCCACCGAAGGACATCGCGTAAGTTGAATTCCCATGGGCTCCCACGAGTCCCGTATTCGCGGTAAACCATCACGTCGCGGTGAAGCTCGCCCACAAAATGCACCATTTTCTCCAACACACTCTTGTCAATGCTTGGGCAAACAGCAAAGGCAATGCACAACAGATCCTCCATACCAAATGGCTCAATACGCACCTTTGTAAATCGATTCAAAAAGCTACGGGGTAACCCTTTACGACCCCCTCCTTCCAACAGTGGATTTTGACATGCAAAGACACGAAATTCATCAGCCGCGGTAAATTCTTCACCCAACTCTGGGATAAAAACGGCGGAGCGATGATCCAGCAGGGCATTAAGACCTTCCAGCACAGCTTGACTTGCAAGGTTCAATTCATCAAGGATTACCCACCATCCATTTTTGACTGCCTGCAGAAGCACGCCATCGGACCATGAGAAGTGCGGTTCTTCATTTTCATCATTTGAGTGACAAGGTAAATAGGTACCAAATAGATCCATGATATCCGTTTGCTCACTCAAATTGATGCGCACGACACGTTTTTTAAAGGCGCATCCCAAGGCTTCGACAATACTGGTTTTACCAACTCCTGGACTTCCCTCCAAAAGAATAGCTTTGCGTATAATACTGGCGCGAATCAGTTTTGACAAATTTTGACGAGTAGAAGGTGCCCCAAAGAAAAATTGTCTCTCCAGCTCCGGTGGTAACCTTGGTTCCTCCAAAGTGTCAAATAGTTCCCAGAAAGGTGTCTGTAGACAACCCTCATCAATGCCACTAAGTTCATTCGCCCTTCTCAAGCAAAGTTCACGCAATCCACGAGACCCAAACTCTGCTTGACCTGTACCAATCCCAATACCATCAAGTATAACAGCATCCAGTCCATGTATAAATGCAATACGCTCATCACAATGTGTATTGGCCGCATTCATAAACGAGACCCAGCCGATAATATCTCGAATGCTAATATGTTGAGGGACTCCAGTGGCTGTTGAAGTCTTCGCAGCGTCACATAAAAGTGATGCCATTTTATTCGCCCACGGTTCAAGTGAGGGCATTAAACGTCTCGAGAGAATCAGTGTAACCTCTCCTTCATCGGTTGTAGGACGAACATAGATCTCCGTAAATCTATTACGAAGAGCTGGAGAGAGCTCCTTTTTACCAAAGTCCCCGCCTGGATTCATCGTTGCAAGGACTCGAAAATCGTCATGAGCGAAAATAACATCTGCCGTACTCTTTTCAGCCAATGTAACTACTCGTGCAGGCTCTAATACACTATTCAATCTCTCAAGAACACTATCTTCCGACGAGTGAAATCTCGTCAAGGACAAAGATGTTTCCCTGCAACATACACTCCACAAGCGGGCCATTGCGCCACTCAAAAATTGCCTTATTTCGCTGATTAGGAGGTGCAGGACGAAGACTACCCAAAAAATCTGCAGCCTCACTATGTTGATGACAATTGATAATACTTATTGGACGATTTAAAAGCGCTGCCCAAATTTGGCACACAGTTGTCTTACTGCTGCCAGTTTCCCCAACCAACAAGACTGGCTCCTTGTGATGCAGGCAAATTCCGACAACCGTAAAAAGGCGACGCATGGACTCTGTCCATACAATGCCAAATTCATCTAACACTCCATTCCCAACCAGGCTATAACACTCACCAACATATGGCCAATGTTCGGGTGAGTAAATAATATCCTCATTGAGTTCCGTTTTGGTAACAGACTCAATAATATCCTTTACAATTTGACGTTCTTCCATCTTCCGACACCGCTCTGCCAGTAGAAGGAAACCATGTTCCGCCATTTCTTGGTAGGTTTCAGGTTGGCGCTCCGCCCAACGAAAAAGATCTCGAGGAGTTATAAATCCATGACGACCAGCAAATATCTGCGAAGCCTGACGACGCAATTGAAGCAAAACCATAATCTCCACCATTTTTTCCGCAAAACTAGTACAAAGAGAATATCGTTGACACAATATTGTGCACAACTCCGTCGTTGGTATATCATCAATTGTCATTTCCAAAAAACGATTGCGAAACGCTCTAGAAAGCATTTTGCGGCCCCCATAAATACCCGCTGGGTTTTGAGTGGCAAATATACGCAAACAAGGATGAGGTTTTATCGTTTCCTGAGTATCAGCTACAAAAAGTTCACGATTATCATCTAGAAGGCGATTCAAAGCCTCAAGAACGTCTGTTGGTGCAAGGTTTAATTCATCAAGGACAACCCAATATCCATTTCGCACCGCATCCACAAGGATACCGTCAACAAAACGAAGCTTTCCACGCTCATCTGAAACATAATGACCCAGATACTCCTGAATCTCAGTACTTTCATGATTATTTATTCTCACACATTTATGACCCGTAAGTTCAGCAAGGTATTTCACCATGGAACTTTTTCCAGATGATGTCGGTCCCTCAAGTAGCACAGGTCTATCGGCAAAAACAGCTCGGGCAACATTCAATAGATGACCTCGGACACTTGGTGTCAAAATAAAGGATTCATCTTTTAGGGGTTTCTCCGATCCGACATGTAACCATATGTGTTCATAGGAAACGTAGTATCCTTCAGATGGGCATTGTGGTAAAAGTGGTTGTGGAGGCTGTTTTCCAGAAAAGACGTTCCGAATTATCAACTGCTGCACAACAGTATGAAATTGACGTTGTAAAGAGGTAGCAAACCCCAACATCAATCCGTCAAATAATGCCAATGCAAACCCATATTGAGATGTCGCCTTTCTGACGTAGGCAAGAGCACGGGTCAGTGTCCTTAGACTAAATGAGGGAGGCCTCGATTCACCATCCAAGGAGCAGAGTGTCGATTTCGCCTTCCCCACGCATTCCAAAAAAAAGGAGGTAATCTCTTCAGTTTTGCAATCAGGAGATAAATGTCCAATATACTCATTAACAACAGTGTTGATATCATAACGATCAAGGGGTTCATTAACGTAAAATTCCGTAAATTTGGAACGTAGAGAAGGTGGAAGGTCCTTTTTTCCAAAATCCGTGGGTGGATTCATGTTTGCAAAGACATGAAAATTTTTGTGTCTTTGTATCGGTTCACAGTTTCCTTTATCGTTTAGAAATAAGGCATTTACTTCCCCCAATACTGAGGATACTCTTTCCAAAACCTCTGTTGTTGCAAGATTCAGTTCATCTAACAGAATCCAAGACCCTTCCCTCCAAGCCTTGACTAATGAACCCTCCACAAATTGAAAGGCAAATGTCTTTTTTGTCTTTTCCAACTTATCCAGTAATTCCCCTGCCGTCACCTCTAGAAGACCCCACTCATTTACAAAACCCTCCGAAAAGGATTGTCGGGTATTCTTTAACTTAAACGAATTAACTCCCTTCAATATCTGCTTTACTACGGCTACCCACAAACACTTTCTTACTGCAGCCTGAAGAGCCTCCAGGAACTTAACGTTTCGAGAAGCGTTAAATGTCTGTGAAAACAAGTCCACAAATTTATGGTATGCATTCCTTACGGCGACACCTACGTCAAGTGGTTTCCAACCCCCCATAAAATCACTTGTATCCGTTTGTTGGTTAAGGTTGTGTACAATTAGCTTCTGTCCCAGTTGATCTGCAAGATACTGAACAATAAAAGTCTTCCCTACACCTGTCTCACCTGTAAGAAGCACATTTTCATTTGCTTCAACAGCCACTGCTATCCGTTCTAAGAGAGACATCGCGTGCTTTGTGGCAGCAAAGGCAACTCGACTTTCTCTTTCCGGCATTGCAAAAGAAAACAATGGTAGTGTGACGCGACCGACAGTGACATATTCTCTCGCCAAAACCATTTCGGGCCTATTTTCCTTCACAAGTGACTCTGCAACATTTGGTGAAATACCCATAGCACCCGCTAGTACCTCCATAGCCGAGGTTAGCACATCGCCTTCGGGATATCCCGCAAGAATGCAATCAAATGCCTCACGAAACATCAGCTCACGAAGAGTTGAAGAAATAAAGCCATCCAAAGAACATGTTGCTGGTAGGCGTCTGATCACACGCTTACACCACTTTAGCAAGCATCGTAGTGACACCAGTGGAGTATTCGTGCGAGGGGAAAGAAGCACAGATAGTGCATAAACTATGTTTCGCGGCACAGTATACAAGGCTGTTGCAACTTCACACACCTCATCTGGAGGTAAACATTCTATCACCACGGTGCCCCAGAGCTCCGCAAACGGGATAGAATTGCTTTTCCGTGTAATAAAGGTACCACCAACTGCACGTAGCTGTTGCGTAGCTATGATCTTGAAGTTTGGATGGGCATGAATGCGTCGGTTTTTCTCCGGTAGAAACAGTGTAGACTCTTCAAGTAGAGAAAGCAACACGGAGAAAACGTCAAATGACGCCAAATCAATATCCTCCAAAAGAATCCAAAATCCGTTTTCAACTGCAGAAGTAAGAGGCCCAGGAATCCATTCAAATGTGCCTGGAGTGTCCGTCGCTGAAAACTTTCCAAGTAAATCCTTACTGTCAAAAGAATCGTCGACATTCAGTTGTAGCAATGTCTCTTTGGCTCCATACTTATCCGCTAGTGTATTTGCCAAAAAACTCTTTCCGCAACCAATATCACCCTGAATCAGCACCGCTTTTGATGAATCCAAAGCCACCTTCAGATTATTAAGGTTGCTCTCACTTGTCGGCGTCAAAATCATCGTCTTCAGAGAAAAAAAGGTCAGAAGTTATAAAAAAAAAGACCTTGAAAAAAAAAATGCGCATAAAGCAGTAGCTCCATTGGGTGTGACTTCGAGGCAAGCTATTTACAGAAAACAAAGCAAAGGAAAATATTATATATATATATATATATATATTATTTTGTTCCTCATCACTCAACATCCCTCTTCTCCTTTTCCTTCACTTCGCCGCTTTTCTTTCCTAAGTACAAATGATATTCTCAGCCATTTACCCTCTTTTCAGCCGCACACTCTGCAGTCGACTTAATCTCGAATTCTTGAACTCTTTTTGATGCACCGACTGCTCCGTTTTGTTGTTAAGACTAAAGTTGCCAATAAAATTTTTTACCTCGCTAAACGATGGACTTCTTCTCCCAGGTAAATTAATGCCCAGCGAAAGCATGTACTCGGAAAGAGAAAGCTCTGCTTCAAGAAGCGAAGCTATCGTCCATGCAGCCTCAGGATCCTCCACCGCCAAACGATCGCAAAGATCTAAAATAATTTTCCTTGGAACATGAACTCCGCTCGCCAACAAGAGAGTTATTACCTTTATTGCCACATGATACGAATTTGTGGAGTTAAGAACACCGTAGGCCAATTCCTCCTTTAAAAAAAAATCATTAGAGAAATTGCCAATATTATAAAAGCAAGCAGAAGAATCCATGCAACTAATTGGGAATTGAATTTTAGTATCAGAGACCCTTGTAGCGTGTGAAAAAGTAGAAGAGGTCGGCTTTTTACTACTCTGAATATCAGGAGGCTTGACGGAAAGCAAATACGATGCATTGCCTTCCTTCTCGGTACCCGCGCGGTATGGAACAAAAGCAAGAGTTCGTGGCGCATCGTCATTCGTTAATCCGAGCAAAGGTGTAAGGTCTTCCGAATCATAACCCTCCATAAATCCCACAGCCGAGGTGAGAACATTCAATAATCCCTTCTCAAAGGCCTTAAGTGTTACTAAGCACGATAAAGGAGCATACTTCAGTCGCGAAATCGACTGCTGGCCACAACCCAGCGTCACCTGCGCCATATGATCATATTTGTGGAAACTGGCAGATATAATCAAAGATCTGGAAAACAAACAAAAGGGATAGACAAGAAAAAAAAATGGGATATGCCACAAACATGCAAATATAAGCAAAAAAGCGCTAAGGACAAAACCTCCCGAAAAACACGAGCCCCAAATCCGTCTGGCCATTAACGCCCAAACGCGAAGACGACTCGGAAAAAAATAAGAACCATCCGCAAACAAGTTGCCACCCGCCGGGGGGCTGCGGGCACAACAAACGCGAAAACACCAGCCGAAAAGCGGGGAGAGGCCGCACAACGGAGGCCCTTATCCCGCGCCGGGGGCTTTAAAACCCTTCGCCTTCCCGCGCGACCGTCGGCGCCGTTCCCGCGAGTGATTTCTTCTTGGCCTCCCCGCCGCTCCTTTTCACCACAAATGGGGCCGGCATCCTCGTCCTTTATTCGTTTTTTCTTGTTTTTGTCTGGTTTTTTTGGTTTTTTAGCTTCTATGTGTGAATGTTTGTTTCTTTATTTCTTGTTGTTGCCGCGTTGCGTCACTAATTGTGCGTGGGGCCTCCGTTTTGTTTTTCTTTTCTTTTTTTTTTTTAGGAACCAGTGAAGAGAATGATCGTGGGAGAGCTGGCTAAGTTAATTAATGTATATTTAACCTGATAGAACCAATGCTCTTCTTTAAGACATTTTTGTACTGTATGAATTTTGGGAAGGCCACAAATTTTCGGGGAGCAGCAAGGAGCCGATAGCAATGAGACATTTTTTATTTTTATCTTCCCACCCGCTCCCTTTTAGTTCCCACCTCGCGGCGGGGTCTTGTGGCTGCAGGACCCCAAAGTCTACCACTTCTTAAGCAGTAAATAAGTAATAAATATAAATATATATGTATCGAATCCGAATAGAGTGAACTGGACACGATTACGGCCAACGGATGGTGTTTTTATAAATCTACACTTAATTGGTGTTAAAATTTGAGGATATGGTGAATCCATTCTTATTCCACTTATTCTTTTCTTATTACTAACTTTTTTGGTTTCCATCATGGAGAAACTCGGGTTCCGGCCAGCGGCCCGGAAGATTATCCTTTTTGCTTTAAATTATAATCGGTATATCTATTTTATGTATTTTTAGTCTTATTTGAATTTCTTTTTATTTGTTATTTATATTTTATTTATTTATTTATTCCCTTATTTTTTGTATATATATGTTTTGTTTTTGCACTAATGAAATAGCAAAGAAAGATTGGTCATCAATATAAATGAGCGGTGAGAATATTTACAATGTACTTCAAGAAGGAGCTCCCGTAACAACGGGCCCCTACACCGGTAATTACGAAAAACATTTTAAGGAAAGACCAAAACCCGCGTACTCAACCTTTTTCGAGAAGGGGAAGGAATATGATGGCTCACACGTACGCTACTTCAAACAACGTCATGCAGTTTTTGGTCCGGTGATCGGTGATACCGTGGATCCAAAGAACTTTTTACGATCCGGGAGAGGTGTCAAGCATTCTGTGCCTCCTGTGCAACAAAGAAAAATTTTTACAAAGCCTTTATTGGATCACGGAATTTCAAAGTCCCGTAATCAGGGGAGGGAACGTGTTGCCGCAAAGCCAAATATTCTTTCTGCTGGTGAGGAGGCCGACGAGCTGCGTGACGCGAACGGGTTGGAAGGTGGTTATGGAAGAAATGGAGAGAAAAGTGGTGTTCTGACCACCAAGGAATCTGGAGCACAATCCGGTGAGGAAATCTTAGAAGATCAGGGAAATATTGACGGGAATCACTACAACGGGCCCACTGGCTATGTGAAAGAATCAGGAAATGGTCAAAATGGAAATGAGGAAAAGGATTTTGCCGCTCATGGCGCCAATATAGATCAATCTTTACATTCTGCAAATGCAGGAGGTTATTTGGGGGGTAAGGACCTTGTTGACGGCAAAAAGGACTTTACTACATCAAACATAATACAGGTCAGTAATATGGTACCCAAGAGAAGAAAAGATCAACCGGAGAATCCAACTTCCAGGAAGACATTTGGACAGGCACCAGGATACTTGCATCGCGTGAAGCGAGAAATTGATGAGGAAAAGATGCGCCTTAAATCGATTGAAGAAATGCAACTTCAACAGAAAATTCAGAATATGAAAAAATTTGTTCATCGACTGGATAAAAAGGAACAGTTGCAATTGTTAGAAAAACTAAGAACAAAGCTGAATGAAAAAAGTGCAGAGCTGATTAAGATGCCCTTTCTCAAGGATACATATACTCAGATTCTGCGACGGGCTGAATTAGAGAAAGGAATCAAACAAATTGAAGCTTCTATAGCTAAACTAGACAAAGATGCTGTGTTTGTTTACAATGATGATCCGAGATGTATCCACTGGACGAAGAACGCCGCCCTTGAAGAAGCAACTCTTTTTGCTTCAGAGAGAGAAAATTGATCCGGGCGGCGCATGTAATGTAAATAATGTAGGTTGTAAAAAATGTTCTGCATTACTCGTTATTTATCTATTTATTTATTTTATTTTATTTTTGTTGCTGTTCTTTGGTGTTGTTGTTTTCTTATTTTTTTGTTTGTTTTTTGCTTTTTGCTTTGTCATTTGTTTTTCGTTTCATATTTTCTTTTGTCGCTTACATCAAAGCAAAACCAATGAGAAGGTTTTCGGGATTTTTGCGCGTTGCTGCGGCATGTTTGTGTCGGAACAAAGTTGACTTTTCCGACTTGCAGAGAGAACTCCAAGAAGTAAAGAAAAGAGTTGGTGCTATAGAAGAGAGACAAACTCTTCAGTCGCTACTGGCATTTTATAGCTCTCGTCCCATGCAAAAAATGAGCAACCTTAATGAAGTAATATATTATTGCCTAAAAACTGGCTACAACGCCGAAATTTTTTGCCATATGGAACTACCCGTACTTCTTGCTCGTCTTATTATGGCCATTGATACACTTCCTTGCGGACTCAACGCCATGCCATCAGTTTTATTGGTTAGAAACACTTATTTGGATTCCTTTAAAAAACTGATCAAGTGCGATTTTCCGGATAATGATGAAAGTATTTTACATTTTCGACGCGTTGTTGCTGATATCGAGGAGGCGCATTCAAAAAGGGACGTTCTGGGTACTATGGCAATGGGCCTACTTGAGCTGAAAAAATTGCTTTCTCGTCATAGGCAATATGTTTTTAGTCAAAACAAAAAACCTTCAGGTTCTGCTTTTGAATTGACTTTGGATGAAGCGTTGATGGATGTTACAAAGCCCATGGACAATTTCAGTTTACGCATGGTCAATTACAATTTTATTTCAAGAATGCTTCTCACACTTGAAGAAAATGATGATGATATGGTGGGAATGGTTGATCTTAAAATTGATCTTGAAAGAGTAGTACGCAATGCTGTCGATGATGCAAAGGAGGTTTGTACACAGCACTATGGAGACTGCCCAGATGTAAAATTTATCATTTCGAAAGATGCTAACACAATGCGCTTTCCTCACATGAGCTCAACGATCACGTACATTGTTGTTGAGCTGATGAAAAATGCATTTCGAGCGACCGTGGAGTCTCATATGGAACGCAATTCTGCAGGTATGGTGGACTGTAGTAACATGCCTCCTGTGGAAGTTCTGGTAAATATAAAAAAAAACGCCAAACATGCATGTATTTGTGTTTCGGATGAAGGTTTGGGAATGACTCGAGCCCAGTGTGAGTTGGCAATGACCTATGCATACACAACGGTGAAAAGGCCAGTCATCCAACATGGTGCTGATGAGGATCCAGAAGAAGAACGAAATGGCGTTTCCCCTCTGGCAGGTTATGGCTTTGGCCTGCCCATGTCTAGAGTGTATGCACAAGCATTCGGTGGTGATCTTGTGATGAGTACAATGGAGGGGTATGGTACCCGTGTTTATTACTATATCAAGCCTTGAGAAAAATTTTTTTCTATTATTAGCCTGTTTGTTATTCTTATCTGTCATGGTTGCGCTTTTCTGGATTATTCCTCATAATGATTTTTTCCGGTTTTTTCTTTTTTTTTATGTATTTGAGAATGTTTACTTTTTGAGAGCAAAACTGGGTTTGCTGAATGAGCTTATGTTTATGAGCATGGGTCGACTAAATCTTATGAAGAAATGAACGCACAGGTGGATATTACGCGTCCTTTTTATGCGTATGTTCTTTGCTGCTGTTGCTATTCATCTTATATTTTTTATTTATATATTCTTTTTGATTTTTTAATGTAAAAATTCTCTATCTGCGGGATTTTTTTTTTTTTTTTTTTTTTTTTTTTTGTTTTTGTTTTTGTTTTTGTTTTTTGTTTTTTTTTGAAAAAGGGGGTAGAGTGTTGGGTGAGAAAAGAGGAAAAAGTAGTGTTACTTTGGGAGCTGTGCTCACTGCGATGGATGGCGAAAGTAACGTTGCCTCGACACCGATTCCATGGAGCCTCATGCTGGAGTATGAGCGCGCTGATGCTGTCCTTCAACTATTTCGGCAGTTTTCTTTCTTTCATGCCGATAAGTTGTTGCTGATCGAGCGGGAAGAGGTTATTTGCTCCACTGGAATGGATTCTGAACGTATGGAATATCTGGTCATTCATGGTTCGGTGGGAAATGCTCGAAAAGAAGCATTCCTAAAACTTCTTCGTTTGGCACGATTAACCCTTGTACAAGACATGGCCTCACAAGTCGTTGTATGTCCCCAAATTGGGGATTTGCTCCCTAATACAATGTTGCACCCTCTTTGGGAAACTAGTCAGGTGAGAAGTTTTAAAAAATGGAATCGTATTTATTGGGCAATGCGATGTGGACTTCTTAAAAAGATCAAAAGGAGAAGGGAGATGATACAGGCGCATGTGGAACAAGTTTTAGGGCTAAAGGCAGAAAATTTGGTTCAAAATTCTAGTGTGGAAGCGGCGGGCATTAGCCATGTAAATGAAGAGGCATTTTATAATTCTTTTTGGAATCTTCTTGAACTGGAACAGGAAGAACAAAACGCTCCTCTTGAACTGTATTACACAGCATGTAGTGAGGAGCGAGTTAATCTTTCTACCGTCATTGCCACGGTGCCAACCCTTATTTTACTGTGGGCTAGCTGGGATATAACGTCAATGGAATGGCTAAGGGAAAATCTGTTCAACGTTACAAAGATTTTGAAAGCCAATACCTTGCAGACATTTTCTTCGACCTACAGTTCATCTATGAAAGATGATCCATGGGTAGAAACTGTAATGCGGTTTGTTCAGCTGCCTAGGCGTATCGTAATGTATAGACGAACAAGACTAAAGAGGTATCTAAAACGCGCACAAATTGTGCTAATTAGTGTAGACCGTGAAAAGGCTGCTGCAGTTGATGCTCTCAATGGTCTCTTCAGTGAGGTGTCCGGTTGGAAAAGTCCAGAAGTTCCATTGATACCACTATGGTGCGGGCCTGATGGTCTTCAAAGTGATTTAGCAACTGAACTTAACATTGCCCAACTTCCTTTTTTTGTTGCGACCCAATTGCCTGATAAGCAAACAAGAAAACTTGGTGATGGGAGATTTCCCCGTATATGTTACATAACATCCCATACCGAGGGGGAAATAGCTCCAGATGCGTGCATGAAGAATAATGAGGGTGAGGAGGTTTCTGAAAGGGGTTTCCGACTTATGAATTGGCATGCAATTGAGAAAAAGGAACGAGAAATTGTCATGAGTGCTATTTCCCGCTTTTTGGCCGCTAGTGATGCACCTTTAAGGTTTATTGCTCGTGTGGATCGCACATACCAAATGAACCCTGCTTCTTTAGCACAAGTAAAGAAGCGTTTGAAACCGGAAGTAACTTCGTTTGTGACCATGTCGGGAACCATTTCAACGCTTGATTTGATGAAATTAAAGGAGAAAATTAGTTTGCTTTCTCGAGTTCGAAATTTCTTTTTTGATGTAAAGATTATGAAGCCTTCTATTCCTTTATTGATTCAACTGAATCCTAAAACTCCAACTCGGTACGTTCTTGGATCAGCACGTAATATTACGTGTAGTGAGTGTATTCGAGATGTTTTGATAGACAAGGAACACCACTTCCGGTGCATTCAATGTGATCAAAGTGAGGGGGTGGTGTGTTGGATGTGTTTTGCAGCTGGAAAACATCCACAACATCATGTGTTATTGCGCGTTCCCACATTCTCTGAGACGACTTTAAATCTTCTTTGGGGTCCATCTAATGTGTCGCCTTTGGCTCTTTTCTGTGGAAAACTTGTGTCGAACATAAATGAAACTCATGTCGGGGTTTACTGTAATGGTTGCTCTCAACTTATATGTGGAGTGCGATGGAAATGTGCAATGTGCTATCAGTACGATTTGTGTGATTGTTGTGATGAAAAGCGAAATCGTCGTGAGGCCCTTAAATGTGAAGGCGATGCTTCAACCCCTTCAGGGGGGATTAGCGGCCCTATCCACACCTTTACACCACCCAGCACTCACCCCAAAGAGCACCTGTTTCTCTGCATTCGCCATGGCTGCGGAGCGGATGGTGACGCATGTCTGAGTCCTGTAATTGAAAAGACTTCACTGCCTCTCTTCATCTCGCAGTAAAATTGCGAGGGGGATATGCGGAACGCAATCCGCACACACATCCAAAAAGAAAAAAAAACAATGAGTACGGTTTGAGGTTGTGAACAACGTTTTGCGCAAATCCGCTAAAGAGGTTTTGTATATTATTAATGGTGTGGGCTTTTGTCTGTGTCTGAATTTGTTCTTCTTTTCGCTCTCTCAGATTTGCCTTTTGTTCCTTTTTTTTCCGTTCCCTTCCAATCTTTTTTTTTTTCTTTTTTTTTTTTTTTTTTTTTTTTTTTTTTTTAGGAGCTTGTGAAAAGATTGATCGCGGGAGAGCTGGCTAACTTAATTATAATGTATGTATATATCCTGATAGAACGAATGCTTTTCTTTATGATACTTTTCTGCCGTATGAATCTTATGGGAAGAACGCGACTTTGTAGGGGCAGGGAGCCGATAGAGGCCAGATAATATTTGTTTTTATTTTTTACAGACACACAGCCAGGTAAGTTTCAGGAAATGGCTTTGGTTCCCTACACACCCTCCGAGTGGTGTGATATTGGCGCCCGTCTCTGGGACATGGTGTGCCAATGTGGCGAGACCCAGGTGCAGATGACGTTCATTAATGGTAACCAGATGTCGGACGAGACGTTAATGGTGGCCGCATCATCGACAGGCCTAAGCTTGTTCCATGGGCCTATCTCTAAAGCATGGCAGGATTCTACTCTTATTGGACGTATTGCGAATCTACGGGCGCCTCAGATCCCTAATTTCGAGACACAAGTGCTCCTGCCCGCTATGTGGGCAGCCCGGGAGTTGGGGCACCAACAAGGGCTCATCACTGCTGAAAGGGAGCGCCTGAATTTTGATTACGCAAACGCCGTTGCGGACGTGCAGAATCGGAATGCTCAGCTTAACTCGCAGGTTGAGGAAGCGCATATTAACCTATCGGTAAGGGAATCCAATATCGCCGGGGCTGGCAACCAGGTCCTAGAACTACGACAGCAGTTGGAGGCCGCTCACGCCCAATTACGGGAGCGCGAATTCAACTTGGGAGTCCTCACTGGTCAATTCCAGGAACGGGAGGCACGCCATAACGCACTACAAACCGCGCGGGATGCGGAGACGGCGGGGCGGGACGAGCCCCCCGCTACTCGACAAGTTGTCAATGATGGCGTAACTACACTACCGCATCAAACGAATATCTTGATGGCTGGAGGCGTGCCTAGCAGTGCGGCCCGACACAGTTCGGCGGCTCACAGGCCCCCTCACGGTAATGCTGCGAGACCACATTTCCACCCTTCCACGCCGTTGCCTTCCCGCACTTCTCCTCTGGACGCCCAATTACCCATGGAAGAGGACCGCAGTTTCTGCGCATTCGACGTCACTACGTGGCCCTCGCGTATATGGAATGAGGGCGCCTCCGGAGTCGTTATCGACCTCCGGTGCGCATACCAATGCTGGCAACAGGACAACGAGCAGGTTAAACTTGCCTTTGACAATTTGTTCGAGTGGATCGGCGTGCTGGAAGTCCTGCAGGATCCCACCGATCGAATCATGATTTTGGGGAGATCCTTACTGAATACATTCCGGATGCAGCTCACAATTGCATCCGATCCCGGCATCCGGCTTTCCAAACTGCGCGCCCGTCTTTACACCGCTGTTCACCAGACCGACGCTTATGCGAGGACGACCCAGACTCTCGTCGATCGGCGAGAAACCCAACGCACTGTGCGATGCCAACGTTGTCATATTTTTGGACACGAGGCTTCTACATGCAATGTGCGCCCCAGAGGGAATTACTTACAACACAGGCGCCCTTCAAAAAACGGCCGAGGGGCTGCCGCACGCCGCTCATGAATGCTGACGACGGCAGCGCCATCCAATCCGCCACCTCCCACCAATCCTCACAGGCAGCGCACCGCGCCGCCGATGCCCCACCCGATATTTCAAATTGCCCGACGAAATCGTCGGGAAGGGCAATGGAGCTTATCCGTAAAAGACGCCCGACTGTGGTACGACGAAGCACCGACATCTCCGCTTTGGGCCAGTTATATGAGGAAAGCGAACGAGGTGGCTCGAGAGATGTGCGCGCCGTCAACGTGGGAGCGGAGAGTGTCCCTAGCGGGGCAATTCACAACCTTTTGCTGTACGCACGAACAGCCGATGAACGCGGAGAGCTGTGCGGTCTTTTTGATGGCAATCGAAGTGGCGCCATTGACCCGACTGCAGCACGCCAGGATGCTGCGGTCCATGTTGGAAATGAATCGAACCCCGCTGGACATTATGATTCTGGGGTTACAAAAAATTGCGGCGCGATCGGAGACGCGGCGGGCACGCCCCGTGACAAAGGAAGGGATGGATCAATATATCCGCAGCCGGACCGATTGGAAGGAATGTGTTGTCTTACGACTTGCGTGGATAACGGCGAGTCGTTGGTCCGAGATTGCGGCCTTAATCCCCAACAATTTCACAATGGAGCGTGACGGAGCCTTAATATTGTATCGGCGCGTGGCACCGAAGACGGCGAGGGCGGATCCCCACCGCGCCTCGCGGTTCGTGAGGATACGAGGGCAGGACGCCCTCGACACTATAAAGTTATGCAGGACAATTCAACACAACGAAAAGCTCACGAATATTACGACTGCCCAAGTCTAACGAGCTCTGGCTCCTTGGGATGCCACGGCGCATTCCATAGAACGGGGAGCGTTGAGGCACGCTGCTCAAATCGTGGAGGCGTACAATTTGGATCCACACGTGATCTCGCAGTTGGCGAGGCACGTCGACCCGTTCGACCCTCCCCAGAACACTGTTCGATACTTTGGGAGGTACACCACAATGCTGACCCAGGTATCGTCGCTGGTCGCATTGATGTGAAGGGAGGAACGGCGGAAGGGCAGGAACCCTGGCTGAGAGCAGAGGAGCGTTTTTTCCATGACTTTATCACAATTATTCTGCTACAATAACGAGACGCGCGACAAGGACGCGTCTGGCCACTCCACAAGATGAACACGCCATCCCGCTACAGCAGGTCAACGTGCCCGTATTGAGCCTAGAGTGGATTAAAAGTCGGCTGAGCCCGGCCACCTTGGAGAGGCTCATGCAAGTTTGGGGACTCGTCGGGCGGTCCCCTTTCCCTCCGTCTTCCTCCGGCAAAGCGCGCGAAGGCTCACGGAGGATTCCAGTCGCTGTCACGCGATCATTGAGGGAAGCGGGAATTATCGAGGACGCTTCGTCCACAATAACAAGCGGATGGACAATGCCCTTTTTCTGTTGTGGAGAAAGAGAAAACCACCGGTTTACGACGATGGATCGCGTGGCCACGCGACAAGAAGAGCGACGACCCTTATGAGGCTAATGTACCTCTTTTGCACATTTCCCATTATTTGCCGCCTGTGATGGCTGAGGCCGCTTCCTGCCTGGACTTAAAGGCATCCTTTTTTCAAGTCTCTTTACCGCGGGAGACTCGGCATCTCTTTCGATGCCGCGTGGAGGACGGCACGCTGGTGGAGCTGACACGGCTCCCAATGGGATACAAGGCCAGTCCAGAAATTCTCCAGATTATTACTACCTTCGGCAATTGCGGGGGTGACGACGGTGGCTCACTTCCTCTGGGCTGCACCTCCATTGGTGCGCGACGACGTTTGGATCGATGATATACGCAGTGCATGGTCGAGAAGCGATGCGACATTGTGGGAAGCCCAAGTACTTCGTAATGCGGACAGTTGTCACGCATTCATGGGGGAGGAACGCGAATCGGGCGCCACGCAGTACACCTTCCTGGGGGTGCAGTTTGATCATGCTCACCGGGCGGTATCCCTGAGTGACAAGTTTGTCCGGTCTTTATGCGCCATGCCGACGCTCAATTCTTTAACCATCGCGGAATGGTGGTTGTGGCGTCCCGCTTTTTGTACGCGGCTGCCATTTTGTGCACGCGTTTATGTGACTACTACTTTTTCATCAAGGCAGTGCGACGACGATTGTCCGCACTTAAACGCGGATTGTGCTGGAGACATCTTCGGCGAACCTTCCGCCGGCAGCGGTTGGTTTGGGCGAGCGATTGCGACACATCATCGAGAATAATCGTAAGCGAATCATCAAGCCCACGGAAAAGGCATCGGCCGCCATCATCACGGACGCGTTGCTCCATGGATAAGGGGCCGTTTTCATTTTAGATTCCGGCGACGTTAAAATTGCCGGATGAAAATGGGAGACGAAACGTTTCCTTATCATGCAGGCCGAGGCGCGCGGTACGCTTAGCCTTATCGGTCTTTTCCGCCATCTTGCCATCCACCATGGACCTTTGGGTGGACAACACTTCGCTGCAAGGAGCGGCGAATAAAGGCAGCCCCAAATCACACGCCCTGATGTGGGCGCTGCGACGGATATATGAGTTTTTGGACTCTCGCGGAATACAGGCAACTTTTGCTTACGTGCGGTCCTGCAGAAAACCCCGCAGACGGCATATCACGCGGTCGTGTTGTTTACACTTCAGGACTTGGCGAAGGGGTGGAACTTGCGAAGGGGAGCGGCGGGGTCTTGTGGTTGGAGGACCCCAAAGTCTGCCACTTCGTAAGTAATAATACGTAAATCCTAACTGAGGACAAAGGACCATGCTGGTGGTCCACAGAATTCTATATATTGAATGAGAATAAAACATTGAAGCAATTAAATAACGAACCTTTTTTCCTAACTTGTTTGGTTTCCATAGATTTTCAGGATCCGGCCAGCTGCCTGGAAGATTATTCTTTATCGTTTGCTATTGTCGCCTCTTCATTTACCGATTTTCTTGTTGTTTTAAGGGACGCTGACTGCGATTCCGCTTCCATCACCCCTCATATTCCTCACGAAGGCCTCGAAGGGGTGGCATCATCCACAAAAAGAGAGTCACATGGGGTGCAAAGAAAGTTCTTTGCGTTCCCCGGATGTGAAAAAAAAGGACGATGAGCTCGAAGCGAAGAAGGCGGGAGGCAAACCAGTAGGAACGGAGGCTCCCATAAATTTGGATGGCGATTCCAGCAATAATGCGTCACTTTCCAAATTATTGCCTTTAAATGGTAGAACGCGCTCTCCATTATTGGAGCGCCCGCATGGGAGTTTTGAATTGTTTACACATGAGCCGTTGTTGGATGGGAGAGAAGCCCCCAATGATATGCAACTTGTTTCCTTTCTGGCGAATGAGGATAACGGCTTTCGCATGGACGACGAATACTTTTTACCGTCGGATAGCGGCACCTCCACTCCACTATTATTTCGTATTGAACCCCTACGCCGAGCTCAGACGGGAGAAGGCACATGGGAGTGGTGGTACGACCAGGTGGAAAACTTGCGTATAACAAAAGATAATAGCTCTCGTGCGAGATTGCAAGACATTCCAAATCGCCTCACGCGGCAATATGATGCAAAGAAGGATCAGGTCGAGCTGGACCTGGGCTGGTGCTATATGGAGCGTTCTGCTCCATACGTTCTTGGACGTCTTTTTGTTAGTCCCTACCTGCGTGAAATACGGTGGGTGACGTCACTTCGACTTGATGGCAATTACTTCACTGATGATGGATTTGGCAACATGCTTGCGGTGATGGGGGTGGCAAACGAAAGTAAGACTGTTTTCCCTCTCTTGAAAAATTTATACCTTAACAACATGAATCTCGACCACTGTAGTGTTTATGGAATTCTTTTCTACGTTTTCCCAATGGATTTATCTTGTGCTGCGAGGGGAACTCAGGTGCCAAGAATCGCAGGACAAGTGGCCGGACTCCCTGCGGAAGCCTACATGCCATTTCATGGTGCGCCACACGCCCCTTTGTTTCCATCGCTAGAAGTCCTGAGCCTGTGTGATAACCCGGGTATAGGCAACAATGGTTTAGCAGAGATACTTCGATGTTTTGTAGCGCCCCACTACGAGCGGCGAACTTTGCCTGTGTTGGATCTTTCACGCTGCGGGGTTGACGAAGTAGGGGTGGGCTACATCAATGAATACCTCGAGCAGCTCCGAATAGCAGATAAGAGAGGAGATTATATTGTTGTTCCAAGACGCGTCGTTCTCTTTGGTAACCGTCACAGCAGCAGCAGTAAGAGCAGTGTCGATGGAAATACTGCGGGCAGTGGTGTCACACTTTTAATGTGAGGAGGAGAAGATATGGAAGAATCTGGAATGCATAGCAGGGGGGGGAAGAGAAAAAGGGGTCGAGGCAAAAAAGAAAAGGGAGAAAAAAAAAACAGCTTTTCCCATTTATGGGCATCATTCTGCCGAATTCGCCTTGCCCCACGTTCCTCCCACCCTCAAAAGGGGCTACGGCATGCTCACCCTTGCTGTAAATTGAAATTTTAGACGTGTGCTGCACGAGAATCAAAAGCAGTGGCGCATGATTGCTTTTTTTTTTCCAAAAACAAAACGAGAAAAGGAAAAAATGAAAGCAACATGCACGAAGTATATAGATGAAAAAAGTACAGAAAGGAATAAGAGGGAGGTACTTGCATGGGGGGAGGAAGGAAGCAAAGTACATGCATCAGTAGACGACCTCACGGACGCCCTTTTGAGGAAAAGAAGAAAACCAAGGATGATGCAAGAACCAGCAATTTATTGGCATATATATATATATATATGCCTTGTGCCTATATACGTAGATATGTATATGGGTTTTTGCGTATTTATATGTTTTTTTGTTCTTTTTTTTTTTTTTTTTTGTGTCTGTGTGTCTTTCTTTCTCTGGATGTGTGAAAAATGTGATAGAGTTATGTGTGTATAAATAAATATAAATATAAATATATATATTCCAAGATTAACGCTACGATCGTTATTATAATGGGTTTTTATTTTCTTTTTTTTTTTTCTTACATGTCCGGCATCTCTTTACCTTTATCATCATCCCTTTTTTTTTCCCCCTTTGAAGTTTATCCAGAGCACGTTACCATTTATTTATTTATTTATTTATTTATTTATTTATTTATTTATTATTTTTCTTTGTTTTGTAGAGAGCACCGGAAGGCACTTGGAAGGAAAATTTAATGTTTCGCGCTTCTATACTGACACGCTCCTTTTCACAGGAGGCGTTTCATCGCATGAGCAAGTACATCAAGAGTCGCAATCCAAATGAGAAGTATCTGCGCACAGGCCATATTGTACTTGAGACCCTCAAGAGGTATCACGCGTATGTGTTGGCGTTAGGAATTATTTTGACTGTGACGTGCTACGACCAGCTGAAACACCCAGAGAAAATACGGACACCTGTTCATGATGGTCGATCACTTGTTCTTTAGTAGCCATATTCTCTTGCTGGTGGTAATGAAGTGAATTTCAGTAATGGGGGGGAGAGAATCTCACTCCATGTATGTTTCTTTTTTTCCTTGCGGGTGGGTGCTCTCCACTTAGGGTGAGTTACACACAGAGAAACACACCGCCTTTCTCCTTGTCCGTACTTGTAATGCATAAGTGAGAAGAAAGGGGGAAAGGCGATGCAAGGTGTTTACTAATCCCCACACCAACACCTTTTTTTTTTTTTTTTTTTTTTCTGTACTGACCCCTTACGTTTTTTTTTCTTCATATTTATTTATGGGGCAGAAGATAAATTAGGAGTCAAGGAAAAAAGGAAGGAAGGTGCGTGAGACTGGATGATGAGCCGCATTCCCGTTGGAAAAAAGCCAAACAAAAAGGCAATGACATCTTCAAACAATTCTTTAGCAACCATGAAACGCATTGTTGAAATGATCCCACTGGACATTGACATTGAAAAGGCACGGCAAATCACTCTCAATGGCAAGAAACTCACTGCGCTTCCTCCCAACTTGGGTGTTTTGCTGCGCGAGGTTCGACGACTGGATATTTCCGATAACGACATCCATGACGTCACACCACTGGCTTCATTCCCCCATCTTACTTCGGTCAAACTCTCAAAGAACAAGCGGCTGTCGTCTATCGCACCTCTTAGCACACTGCATCTAACTGTCTGCGTGGTCGATCACTGTGCTTTGAGCTCATTGGTTGGTCTAGAAGGGAGCGCATCGACGCTCAAAACTCTTATTGCCAATGACAACAACTTATTGCTTCAGTCTCCTGTAGGGGAGGCTGTGGAAGGTGCAACGGCAGACCATATCGCAATAGCTTTAAGAAACTACGAAATTCTTGGAATGCTTTCCGCCTGTGAGACCGTTGTGCTCTCCCGCAACCCGCACCTTTGCGCCCTGTATGCTGCGCATAAACCAGATGAGGAGGGGTGTATTACGGGAGATGTAAAAAAGAATAGTGGAGGCGACACACCGCACCACGAGGCAGATTGGCCACACCCACTCTCTGTTCTTGAGAAAATGACGCATTTAAAGAAACTTTCGCTGAGTGGATGTGGACTGGTGTCACTGCCCCTGCACTGGTTTCTTCCCATGGTGACAGAGCTGCGGCTGAGCCATAACGCACTAAGCAGTCTTGTTCCAGAAGGTGTTATTTTTCGCTCGGTGAAGATACTTGACGTTAGCCATAATGCTCTCACAGATGTCTCAACATTGCGACGGTGTCGCTTTGTTCGTCAATTAAGCATAAGCGGTAATCCGTTCTTGAGGGTGGATGAGGCGTCATCCGCAAAGAAGGACGAGGAGGTGAGAAGAGGAGTCTACTTACCACCTGAAGTCATTCGTTTTCTCACACGAAAGATGCCTCATCTTGAGGTGGTGGACAGTACGTTGCTCTCATCCATTCAATTAGGAGATGATGCAGGTGAGAATAGACTTAAGAGTTGTGATGCCGCGGAAGACGAGAGCTTTCAAAAGAAAGATAAGAATAACCCAATGGAAGCAAACGTTGAGGAAAATGTGGACGTTGTTGTGGAGCCTCCTGAAGTTGTGCCGGAGTCAATTCGAGCACCCATTGTCCGGCGAGAGCGAACGAACCTGCTAGCGCAACGAAAGAGAGAGCTGATAGCGGATGGCGCCGTCGTAGCTCAACTGGTGAAGAAGCAAAAGATTGAACGTGCTGGTTGGTAATGACTGTTATGAACCCTTTCAGGAGAGATCATCATATGAACGATTAATTCTTAATTGGAATTGTACAGGGCCGGCCTTTCTTGCCGTTGATCGGGCGATGGTGCTGCCAGTAAAAGTAACTGTCTTCCACATATTATTATTATTATTATTTTGTGTGTGTATGTGTTTCTTTTGAAAATTTTTCGTTTTTGTTTGGGTTGTGTGTAATGTCGTTGTTTCTTTATTTATCTGCTGGGGTGGGTCTGCCTTGATGCTCCATTTGTTTTTATTTTTCTCTTTTGTTCCTTTTCTCTCTCTCTCTCTCTCTCTCTCTCTTTGTTTTTGCTGCCTGAAGTGCGGGAATTGAAGGGTTAGGGAGCTGCGTGCTCGTACTCCCATCCCCACACTTTCATGAGCCTGCGGAGGCGTTGAGTTCAGAGGCATCACGCGTGAAAGAGGGGAAGAATAATAAAAAACTGTGAGAGAACACATGGAAGAGAAATTGCGGAATGCCAGTCGAGAGGAATTGCTGAATCATGTGCTCACGCAGCGTCTTCTCATTCGACATCTGCATCGTCGTATCGTCGAGCTAGAGCGGCTGGTGCCATTGACGTCTAATAATTTGGATTCTCGGGGGGGAAATGAGGCAAACTTGTCGCCTCCCGTGCCGCAGCGAGATCCACCGCCACCAGCGAAATTGTCTGAAGGGCTTCGGGAAATTGATCGCATCCTGCGAGCACACGCCACAGGCGCGGTGCGTCTTCCACAGGAGGTTGTCGCCGAGTTTCTTTACATTCAGAAAGAACTTTCCGCCGTGGAATCAGGTCAAAATACTGCAGAATCAACAGAGACGTCTGCTTTGCCCGTAACTTTTTCCTCTGACGCTTTTCTTTTGTCACGAACACCGGTTGTCTCAACTTCTGCTGTGAGTGATGCATCTATCCACAGCACTCCGTATGGACAGAGGTCTGGTGTTCCTCGGCGTTTTTCTCCACCGAGCTCTCTCATTCAACGAACCCAAAAGCACCTGTCAATGCGAGAGAGGAATGAGTTGCCGTAATAATGCATAACGAGCAATGGGCCCTTGTGTTTCCAATTGAGTGAATTTTGAGGTATTATCCCCATTTTTTATTTCTTTGCATTTTTCTTTTTTCAGTGGAGTTTAGATGTCCCACACAAACACATACAAAAAAACAAGTTTTGCCCTTTATGCGGTGCCACTTTTTTTTCTACTTTGCCTTTCTTTTTATGTTTCCTTTTGGTGAAGGTCACCCATGCAGTTTGTTGTGGTAGACGGCAGCTGGCCAGTTGTCCCCTGTGCGATTCCGCGCTCACAACTACTAGCACGCTCAGTGAAGGATACCGACCACGGCGAAGATGGTGGCGGTCAATCAGTGCTTCCAGGCCACGCCCTGTTCACACTATGTCAAGAGGTCTTGGACACCTCTGCTTCGAAAACGAAAGCTCCTCCGGAACTGGCAACGCTGGACATGACGTTCTTGCGTGATCCGCAAAGTGGTCCACTAGGAGCCCTTCGTCTTTACACTTTTAAGAGTGTGAGTCATCAGTTTTTTGCGGTGGAGGATCTTGTTAGCTCAGGGTGTCTAATCGTATTTACTTCACACTGGGCATCTCTCACCTCTGCGGCTTTGCTGACCGGTGTGAGAACCACTCACAAAGAGAAGGATGACTCCGCCAAGTCATCTAGACGCCGCATAGAGAATAATACTGGGAGTGGCACGCGTGAGGTGTCTGCTTCGAGGGCAAGTAGCCTTATGGGACGCGGTCGCTCCGTGCTACAAAAGTTTTCACGCGCGGAAACGTACTTTACTTCGGTGGCATCGGCAACTCAAAGGGACTTTGAGATGGTGAATGAGTTGCTTCTATCGGGAACGATTCGCATGAACGCCCACTTGGAGTCATTTCTCTGCAGCGTCTGTGGAAACCTACCGCGGAGAACGATGACGACGTCATGCTGCGGTGCGGTGGTGTGCTTGTTGTGTGCACCGACGCTGTCCTCATCGTCTGTCCTCAGGGAAGAGGTGGTGTGCGCTGTTTGCGGTGAGATGCCCCTCACAAACCCCGAAGCCCACGTGAGCCGCGATGCGGAGGTGATGCGGTTGGTACGGGAGCTCCGTGTCTTGTATCATCCGCAGGTTTCCGCAGCCGCGTGTCGTGCCATGCCAGGCGAGACGCAACCCCCACCCACACCCTTCAACGTGCACCACGCGGGATTGCCCGTACCGATTTGCGACATGAATGAGCCAACTGGTTCTGTGCTTGGATCCGTATTTATGGGACCATCGTGATGCGGCTGCATATTTATCTCTTTTACCTTTTCGTTAGCCTTCTTGCATTGTCATATTCTCAATGATAGGTAGTTTGAGGAGCTTTGATAATTTTTTCCTGCTTTCTTCTCATTTATTTATTTCCCTTTTTTTTTTTTTTTTTTTGGATTTACCGCCACTTTGCACTGTGTGAGGTGGAACCAATACTTTTACACCTTCCCCTTTTTTTTTCTATTGTTTCCTTTGATCTCTCATTTGTCCCCGCATGGGTCTAGCAATGCTGGTAAGACGCTTCCACAATTTGCCACTCCTGTCTGTTGACGCTGCTTCCGCCGCAGTGGCAGTTCTCTTCACATCGCAGCGGCTTAAAAAGACACGTGCTGCTTCTACTGCTGCTGCCACTACTAATACCTCTAATACCGGCGGACAAACGACGTCCGCTTCAAAGAAAACATCAACAAATGGCCAGCGCGGGCAAAATGGCGATCACTCAGATTCTTTCCGCTTCTTGGTACCTGCTGAAAGGCCTGTTTATGCTCTCTCGCGTGGGAAGTTTACCCCTGGGCGAGGAGGGAAGAGGCCGGAGACAGTAAACGGCTCCACCATGTCCCGACCGAGGCAGCGTGATTTCAGTAAGTTCAGTGTGAAAAGGCAGGCTGAACCCGAACCTGGGCATTATTGCAGAAACTCAACCACCGAAGAGCGTTCCCTGGCGCAGCGGGAGGTAAGCTCGCGTGAAAATACAGACAATTCTTGTCAAGAGTCCAACAAACCCTCGCCTTCACAATTGTTGAAGCTACGTGTGGTACGCCTGAGTTGATCCCAAAGGCCTTTCTTATTTACGCAGTGCTTGTTTTTCTTTTTTTTTTTTTCTTTTTTTTTGTTTTTTTGTGCCTATCTTTGTGTTTGTTCAGATGTTATTCGTTTCTTCTTTTTTCTTCCTTTTTGGAGGGAGGGGGGTTGCCTGTTTTTTTTTTTTTTTTTTTTTGGGTTTTTGACGTTTTGTTTCTTTTTTTTTTTTTTTTTTTATTGCGGGGTGCAATGCAGTTTTTTGGTGATGCCACCGCATACATGCTTTATTGTTGTGGATTTTTGGCTGCCTTTTAGAAGAAAGCGCGGGGTTGCCTCTCAGGGAGGAATGTTGTGTGGATGTCTGCATAAATGCTTAACCGGGTATGCGTGTGAGTGGTGTGCTGCCAAATGATCCCTGTTTTTCTTCTTTTTTGTGTGTGTGTTTGCGTGTCTGCTACCCTGCTTGCCTCTCTTAGGGACCACATTCATGGGGGCAGCGCCGCAAAAAAATGCATCGGTTTTGATTGGAAGGGATTCTGGAACTAAAAGAAAGCGGCGGCCGCCGTCACAAGCGGACGCAGGCGTCGCGAAAAAGTTTGGGGATCCAAATGAACCGATGCGTGCCTTTTGTTTGTCTGAAGGAAAGTTATCGCAAGGACTTTTGTGTCCGCCTTGCTTCTTTATGGACGTGTCTCCTTTTCAACGCGTTGGTGACGCCTCTGCCGATGATGCGGGAAGTTTCTCTGCTGCGCCGCTTAGATACGCTGTAATACCGGGCTTTTTTGCGCATCCATCTCCATCGCCATTCAAGCAGACTGCGAAGTCGCCACGGACAGCGCGTGACGCCGTGTGTAAAGCATCACTGCGGAAACTTTTGAAGAAGGCTTTCGACGCCGCTCGCCACGCTATGGGTGCTGTGGACGATATTCCGAATGACTCGCTGCTAATTGTGGCTTTTGCATTCACCACGGGTGCTACCGCAGACGCCAGAACAACACGAACTTGGGTGCATCACCCTGAGAGCAACCGCTTCTCTTCTGCCAATGTTGCCGGTGGATTGCGTCGGTGGGGCGAGGTAGTCGGACTGTGTGTGGCTCATGAGCTGAGCAGGGCATGCCGTGTGCGTTGTGAGTTGAATTTTAACACAAAGGAGCGTCACGGATCCAAGGAGCAGGTGGAGGAACGTCGGGAGCCGACAGGGACGAAAGTGGGTGACAGCTGGTGTGTGGGATCCTCATTCTGTGGGGTGCAGTTCTTTTGGGTGGCAGAGCCACACCGCCGCCGTGGCATCGGCAGAGCGATGGTAGAATTGGCCCGCAAAAACGTTTCATACGGCTTTGAGATACCCTTTGAGCAGGTTGCGTTCTCTGAGCCAACGGCGCACGGAACACTCTTCGCGAGGCGTTACGCTGGGCGCGATGATTTTCTCGTCTTTTGAGTCTCCGTTTCTGATTGTTGGTTTTCTTTTGTTTCCCCACCCTCTCCATTTCACCTCCTCCACACATTGGCGTCAAGAGTGACGGGTGTGTCACTGGAGGGAGGGAGGGAAGGAAGGGTAATGGGCGTGTAGCGGGGCGACGGAATGGCTGCAGCTCTTGTTGTTGTTGTTGTTGTTGTTTCATGCTCTCGACTCACTTTGCTTTTTATTCCCACACGTACACATTCTTGTTGTCGTTGTTTTGCATGTGCACAGAAAGTTATTTATTGTGCGATTTAGGAAAAACATACGTACGTCTAAAATAAATGAAGCCGGCAGCCCCCAAGACCCCCAGCAAAGCTTTGAAGGGAAAGACGGCGACGCCAAATAAAGCGCTAGAGAAGGCGCCAAAAAAAATGTCAAAATGCGAAAAGTTTTTGCATGAACTGGAAGATTTGAATCAAAGTCAAAGGTGGAAAAAAGTTGTGGAGATGGGACGCGCCGCACACGCGGGGGGTGAGGCCTCCAGCGAGTTGGCGTTACTCCTGCAGCTCTCACAGTCTGGGGTTCCGTACGAGCGAGTGCTTGGAGCAATGGGACTTTGTCAGACGAACTGCAGCAGTGAAATTAGGAGGCTTTTGCGGGACCCATGCGACCGCGTTGCCATTCTCGCAATGATGCCTGCGGCGGTACATTTATCAGATAATGATTTATGTGAACTTTTCAAGGAGCTGCCGCGCCGACGTCTTTCATTTCTGTGCGAACGCTTGGACCATAAGAAAAGACTCCCGGCGGTTGCGGATAAGTACATTGCGACGCTACCACCCCTTGTAAGAAGCAGTTCGGCACACGCCCTCTTGTGTTGGGCGTCCGAAGCCCTCTTAGCCAGACAGAATCCATTGGCACTAAGACACTTCAGCCGAAGTGAATGGTACACGGTGGTAAAACGGCTGCCGGATTTTGCATTGGCATTCGCTGAGAAGGGCCTGAAAGACGCCGCAACACTCGAAAGCGCCAGCGAACGGATACATGTAATTCTCAACGCGTTTCGGCGCTTTTATCCATCCGTTGGTCTGAAGCTTCTCACCTCTGCCATGAATCACTTTTGTGTTCCGGATGATTGTATCGTCGCCTACTCGAACATTTTTCCCGAAGCCGTGGCGGAACTTGTTGTGAAACACAAACGTTTGTGCGTATTTGATGTGTGGCGGCCACCAAAGAATTTACGTCACGAAACTTTTCTCGCTCTAATTGATTCGGGTGGAATGCAGCACACTCACGTAACGGATTTTTTTCTGCTTGCACCGCCAAAGTTACGCTCATTTCTGTACAATTCGCGAAATGATATGTTTAGAAACGCCAACGGTTCAATGAATGTTGATGTACTTTTTTATGTCACCGATCCCGCGGAGCGCCGACGTGAGGGGATGCGGGCGCTCACGGAAATTGCGGAGCTGCGCACCGATCCCATCGAGTGGCTAAAATATCTTTTTGTCTTGCCCTTTCCAGAGGCATTGGAATTGGCTGGGCGGTATCTACAAGTCTCCTGTGTAAATACCCGCGCTGCTGCCTGCGCCTCTTTGGTAAAAACTGGCAGTTTTCATCCGGAGCACCTTCATGATATTCTTGATTTTTGCGTCAAGCGTGGGAAGGAAAACGACATTGTTCGGCATAATTTTCTTTCAGAAATAAGTGGCATTCCCCCGCACCTCTGGAAGGAAGACCATTACCCCAAGCTGGTTAAAATTATCCAAGGTGCATTTGACTCCAGAGATGCATCGACCGCAACGTTTTCTTCAATAATGTCGCTGATCCGGGGTACGGTACGCTTCAACACGGTGCTTGCTGACAAATTTCTTTTGAACATTTTAAATCGTGGCTTCCAATTCTTGTTGTCGAATACGAAGCAAATTCCACGGGCTGTTATGGAGCATCTTTGGAAATTTATGCTGCCGTGGCTTAAGGAAAGGGTGGACAAAAAGGCATTTTCCACCGTGAATTACATCCTAGAGGAAGTGGGTCCAAGCTTGCATTTTGTCGCGGAGAGCAGTGTGCCGTTTATGAAAACTCTGCTCAAGAGCAGTGAGAGTTGTGCAGCCATAAATGCTTTTAAAGTTCTGTTTCGATTCTTTCGCCCCACTGCAATGGAATTACTGCCAGGTTTACTGGAGGAATCGTTGGAATGGATTGGCGTGGATGAAGTTCGGCATGTTGTAAGCTTGCATCTCCAGGGCCACTGGCTGGATCGATATCTTGTGCCCATTCAAACCAACGGACGCTTGGGTACCCGTAAGGGTCAGTGGCTGGTTGTGTTTCGTAACGGGCACTGCTGGACGGCGGCGAAGCAGGAGAAATACGCCAAGTCCATTTCTCGTAACCTGTCATGTGCAAACTATTCGCGTGAGTTTATATTGGGGAATCTTGCTGCGCTGCGGAAACTGTACAGCGCTAACGTGACGGAGGCTCTTGCTCCTTTTATAAAAGAAGAGCATACGGATCCATTTTTGTGGAGCAATGCCATTGAACTTCTTGGAAAACTGGACGATGCGGCATCGCTCAAGGTGCTCAAAGACGCTTTTAACGATGAGAGGGTACGTGTGGCTGTTTACGCGATTCGACGTCGTATTTGCAACCTACCGACGGCACAAATAATTGAGGAACTTGATGTGCCACTCCACTCCAAATTGGTGGCTGTACAGAAGGTGGCTCTTCGCCATGTTTGTGACGCCGGCGATGATGTGGCATACGCCTACCTGAGTCAACTACGACACGGCGAAAAAATGCACCCTAATTTAGAAGCTGTATGGCTTTCCGCCATGTTTCAATTCTTGGAGAAGCGGGAGGTGTGGGACATCTTCATGGATGTTGCGAAGGGCAAAGAGTACATTTTGGCGAAGACTCTTGTCGATGTTCCGGATGACACGCTTGTGGAAGATTGGCAGCTGGTTAACCTCGACAAACTGCTTGCCGTGTTGTTGTCTTGTGAGGAACTTACTGTGGTGTTGGCGGTTCTTGAACGTTTGAAAAAGCGGTCACTCCGTCGTGATGAAGAGGTGGTGCGTACTATGTTGCACATTCTGAAAACAACCACCATCAACGAAATTATGAACTTAACAGTTGGCGCTCTTTGTATCTCCACCGCCGAAAAGCAGGAAGTCGCCTCCGCGTTTTTGAGTCTTCGTCCGGAGTCGCGGCTGTGGAGAGTTGCCGACACACTCATCCAATTACGTCACACCGCGTGTGACCGCTTTAAGGAAATTGCCGTTGCGTATATGAAACTTCTGCTAGAGAATTGCTGCCAGACCGCGGTGGTGTGTCAACTCATTTGCTACCTGCCTGTCAAGGACCTCCTACGACATCTCAATGATGTCCTACAGAGGGGCCTTCTACATGCCGGTGCTGTGAATAGCATGCTGAGAAGTCTCAAGTGCACCGCCGAAATTGTTAATGAATTTGAAGCCGTAGAGAACCAACTTCGACAGCACGAACATCCCCACATGCAGCGTATTGGGCTTGCGATGCTTGAATCGGCTGCCTCCACCGGGAAGTGGGATGAGAATCGGCGCAAAGCACTGGAGGTTTACCGCAACGCAAGTGATGGGTGGGTGAGCGATGATGCCAAGATGGTAGATCTTCCACGGGAGTGATTTTTTTTTTTTTTTTTCCTTTGCTGTAAAAATTGATTTCATGAATACAGACGAATGAAGCCTGTTTGCGAAAGAAAAAAGGGAGAGAGGTTTTGATTGGATGTCGGGAAAAAAAAAAAATAGGAACCCAAAAATAAATAAATAAGGCTTTTTGTTCTTTTTCTTTTTTTTTTTTTTTTTTAATTTGTGCCTCACTCTTATTCTCTCGCAATTCTCTGCGTGAGGTGAATGAGTCTGCGGCAGTCAACCAATCAACGGGGACCCAAGCATTTTGATTTCCACTTTTGTTGTTTTTTTCTTTCCTTTCTCCGGATCGGTGGTATGACGAAGTCTTCCCGGATCTTTTAGCCGTCGGTTTCTCGACGCGGGGTCGGCGCTTTTTCATCTGCATACGAGGATGCGTGTTTCTTCTCTCCTTATCTCCCTGCCTTTATTGTTGGCTTCTTTCTTTCTTTTTTTTTTTCTTGAAGCAAACAGGAAGCGAGTGAAAACACTTTTATTTGCGTCTCATTGCGTGTGTGCGGTACTTAAGTTGAGGGCTTGCCGTGTGGCTGTTTTTGTTGTTGTTGTTTTTTGTTTGTGTGTGCCGCCTGGCCGAACCACCGCGTCTCACTGGCAGCGACTGTGAAGGGGCAAGGAGGGGAAAGAGCAGGAAGAAGGGGTAGAAAAGCATGAAGAAGACATGTCTCGTTTACGGGATGGTCGTTGCTGGATAGTACTGATTTTGTTCTGTTTATTCAGCAGCTCAAATGCCATTCAGTGGATTACATTTGCCCCTATCGCCACACCATCGAGGGATTTCTTTAACTTGAGCACCAACCAGCTGAATCATTTGTCCTCTGTATACATGATCGTGTTTGCCTGCGGTGTCATATTTACATGCTCGACGTTTGAGCGATGGGGTGTGCGACGTGGGGTTTTGATTGGCTCTGGATTAAATGCCTTTGGTTCGGTGCTGAAGTTTGCCCCCGGACTTTTTTATCCGTCATTCCCAACGATGATTGTGCCCCAGACGATCAATGCCGTCGCTCAACTATTCGTCTTGTCGACCCCGCCGTTAATCGCAGCGCATTACTTCCCTCCCAGGCGCCGTGCATTCGCAACGGCAGTGGCGAGTACGTCCAACAGTCTTGGCAATGCCCTCGCTCTCTGCGTACCGCCACTGGTGGTGAAAAACGCGGACCGAAACTCCTTTATGATCCTTTTTGGGGCCGAGATGATCTACTGCTGCCTCGTGTTTCTTGCCGTCTGCTTTTTTCTGAAGCCGCCACGGCAACTGTCTTGGAGAAACGGAACAAACGGCCACACAAACCATGTCCCTGGCGCGAGGACTCACCCACATGTACGCAACGGCCCATCATCGTCTTCGGACCAGGCAAACCAACCGACTCAACCAGTTCACGAGGAGAGCAGTTCCTCAGGATGGATGCGGAATGAGCATATTCACAGTATCATACATGTTTTACATGTTGGTTATCTCCTACTAAAATCCTGGGACTTTTTCTTTCTTTCGCTTTCTTTCAGCATCAGCATGGGAAGCGTCTGGACTTTTGCATCGGTGCTAACACAGATCTTGGAGCCGTTTGGCGTATCGCAGGAGCTCGCGGGAGCAATGGGAGCGATAAACATAGTCGCTGGGACGATTACGGCCTATTTGGTTGGCGTGTGGATTGGCCACAGTCGCAATTACAAAATATCACTTCTATTATGTTTTTTGCTCTCCTTTGCGTGCTGCTGCGGTCTTATTCTGACGATGGTGTTGGCACCACCGAATACATCGTTGATAAATGTCTTGTTTGCCTTCTTGTATATAACTGCGGGTTTGGGACAAAACACCGCAATACCCATCTGCTTTGAGTTTTCCATGGAGATCACACACCCCATGCCAGAATCGGTCCCAGGCGCAATTCTAATGGCGGGTGCAAATATCGTCTCACTCATTCTGCTTTCCGTCTCCTCCGTCCTTCTTGTGGACGGTCTTGCCACACCGCAAAGCGCGGTGAATGTCATGATAATGATCAGTGCCGTGTCGCTAATCGGTGGAATTTTTGCGCTGGCCCCTGTTGAAAAATTACGCCGTCATGAAGCGGAGCTGGAGGCATGGCGAATTCCCAGCACCTGTGAGACTGGGTCTGCAGGGGGAAACTGCACTGGAGGTGATGCGATGCAAGGGCAAAGTATGCGCCTTGTTGGTCGGGAAAGTGAGCCAGAGGCAAACAAATCCGTCGGAAGCGAGCCTGATCCACGCATCAGCCCCCGTTCAAAGGTGGGATTTGCTGTGAAGGACATCCACCATGCCGCCACCGACGAACGTCGCACGCGGCCGTGAGGGCTGACCATCATCCAAGAAGTAACGGCACCACGAGCTACGCGGAGGTAAATTTAAAAAATAAAAATAAAAAATAAAAAAAGAAAGAGAGAGTAAGAGAGAGTGAGACAATGAAAGGGAGGAGAGTAATGGGCATCCAGCTGAAATATGCCCTTTCAATCTCATTTGTACTTGTGTTATGGATCGCCCTTCGAGTGTCCGTCTACGACTGAAGTAGTAGACGCCTCCTGCAACGAGACATCAGCTTTGACGGTGGTAACAGCAACAACCATGCAGTGTGAGAAAATAAAACAACGCCAATAGTTTTAAAAAGCGTTAGGAGTGCATCGTCCCATTTAATTTGTTATGTTGTGCATCGTGCGCAGCCAGCACTCTACGATGCGCCAGCGTCACCTCTTTATGTTTTTTTTTCCTTTTTTTTTTTTTTTTTACTTTATAGAATTTAAGCATTTTATGGTTGTCATGGCAATATAAGGAGCATTCACAATTTTGATGTGCCACTCGTCTTCTGCTCCATTGGAACCACGTCTCCTAGCAACACTCTCTTTTGGTGGATGCATTCATCATCATGACCAAAGAAAAATTTATTATCGACATCCAGGCACATAAAACGATGTCAAAAGATACATATATCAAAAAAAAAAATAATAATAAATAAATAAATAAACCGCAATTATCTAACTTAATGCCCATGCAATACATGAGGAACCAAATTTAAAGAAATCATTGGCAACATTAAACCAATATAACCGCTGGTTCCAATACATTTATAATATTAGAAATCATATCAAAAATTTTTTGAAGAAGCAGCAACGAGCCACCAACACCACCATCCCAACGGACACAGATTGCAGACAGCATCGCATGCCCAAAAACAACTGTATGTGTTTTACTTTTAACTATGCTTCAATTTTATTTCCAGCCGCCCAAAGTACCCTTTCACGCCGACGTTCATATTACAACACCAAGAATACTCACACGGCTGGAGTAAATGGAACTGCACTCTGTGCAAATAAAGGTGCTAGTCACAAGATAGTGCAGGTCATTTCCACACCGGCATTGTGGCTTATGCCGCCGTTGGTTTGTGGATGCCGTGCCGTGTGACCCGGGGGAGGAGAGCGCACGATCGCGACAGACGTGGGTGTGTTGTGACGGGCGACCGCTGCCGACTTCCCCGTGCTGTGCCTGTTGGGTGGGTTTTGCCCCGGTTGCGTCTTCACTCGCCGTTATTCCTTCTGTGTTGGCTGGTTTGGATTTGCCTGCTAAGGGTGTCTTTGTGCGACCGTCGTGATGCTCTCACTGCCTGTTCTCTGCACACCACCCCCTTTTTGTTTCCGCCCTCGTTTCTTGTAGGTATCGCCCCTGCCTCCCTTTGCCCGCCGCCGTGCGGGCTGGTCTTGGAGCTGCGCAGTGATTAGAGACTGGATGTACTTGTCCTCCACCGACGTGTGCAGCGTGCACGCAAACTGATGCAGAAGAGCATCCGCATGATCGGCGCTTCCTCGCTCCCACCCTTTCCCCTCTTCTCTGCGGCTGCTCCCGAAAGGGCCTGTTGAGTGGGATGCCACGCTTTGACGCTCGCGGGACCGTCCCAATTGGAGTGCCCGAGAGCCAATGCTGTATCGCGCCTCACTGTTGGCTGCGGCATTTGTGTGGGTCTTTGGAGCACTGTGTGTGTATTTGTGGGTCCTCTGCTCCCATTAATCGCGTTTTTTGTTTGGTTGTTTCTTGTGTTAAATTGTCCTTTAGGGTTACTAGTTGCATAGTGGCATCGTGGCCTCCTGTGTGCTTTTGGAACCAGGGACTGATAATATTGTATCCTACCTGCAGCTTGTCCGACCGGGTGGAACTTGGGCGGTGGCGCACGCCGACTCGCTTTTTTGGATGTCTCTGTCCCATGCGCCGCTTCTTGTTCACAGAAACTGCCGAACCGGCCGGCACACGCAGCCCACGAAGGTGCTCCAGACGCGTTTTTGCAGTGCTTTGCTTGTCTCCCACGCTGGCCCGTCTCTATTGCTGCCCAGACGGCCCTCAGTTGCTGCGCTGGAAGTGAACGATGAGGCCACAGTGACCACTGTTTTCCTCCGAGAATTCTGCGCGACAACAGTCATCATCCTGTGCATCTAAAAGAAATGGCGTGATTGGGGGGTTGGGCCCCGCGTATGGGTCGACCGTCGCGATGGTTCCGCTGACCGCTCTACTGGCCCTGTTTTTTTTTTCTTTTCCGTAGACCACTATCATTGTGAGCCGCTGCAGAGGCATGATCGCCAATTGTGGCTTCTGCGCGTGATGGATCTGGCTTGCCCCGCGCCAACAAAGAATGCCTTCTCCTTGGCATTGTTGCCTATGAGCATTTTGCGGGTCCCCTTTATGGCGCTGGACCACCGGTACAGGGGACTGCGCGGGTATGACTCTGAGCGGGAGGAGCGCTATGGAGCACTTAGCTTGATGTGCGGCTGGGATGGGGCTGGGGTGCCCTATTTTCTGGGGTCTGGCGTGGAATGGCGGGGTTTGCAGCCGCGTCCTTGGCGTGCGAATTGGCCTGGCATGGTGCCGTGGTTCCCGACATTTATTGCGGGCACTGCGGATTCGGATGCGATGCTGAATTTATTTGCGGTTGGCCGGCGCGGTGTGGAGCAGAATGCCACCCCCAACGTCTTTTGTCTCTTGTCTGAGCATCGAGGTGGCGCGGCAACGCGTCCGGAGAGCGACGCGAGCGCTTTGCGATCCGCTGTCGGTGCAGCAGTGGGCGGATCGATGCGTCGTGTGGAGCTCTCTGCTGACCGGGAAGCCGACGTGAGGTTTGACTTCCTTTGGGTGTTGGCGACGGTGAACAGCTTGGCGCCCATGCTGGGCGGCCATGGGTCGATGAGCTTACAATATCTTCCACGTGCGCCGTTCGTGTGCTCATTGGCGGGGAATTGGTGTACCCGAACCTCACGGACGTGACGCATTGAGCACGGCTCTTGGTGGGTGAGATTACGCCGACGAGGACACGCCGCAATGTGCGTCGTCCCCCTTCCAATTCCACAGAGTTATGGGTGGCTTGACGGTCCCTTGAGGTTTAACAAATGGCATTGCGGCGGGGAATCGGCTTGGGAGATGGCCAGTGCCGCAACGGAGTCCCTTCCCTATTTCTGACGCTCCAATACGACGGGCATGTGTTCTGTGGGAACACTGAGACGCCGCTGATGTCGACTGCGAGCGGCGCAGGTGTTTGTTGGAGCGCATTGAGGCGAAGCCCAAGAATGGGGCGCGTGTCATCGCGACGTGCCGCAAATCCGTTTGGGTGTGTGAGGCCACGGGACGCACCTGCACCTCGCCGATGCAGCCGCGGCTCAGCAGGGCGATCGAGGTCTTAGTGACGCGGCTGCGACCCGAAAGTGCGAGGATATTCGCCGCCACCCGCGGCATGCGCCGTGCACCTTTTGCGACACAGTGAGCCGAGTGCGGACGTATATCGTTGCTTCCGTTGCGGAATGTGCTGGCGTCGATGCCCTCTCGCCGTGTCGGCCTTTGCCTCGTGCACTGACGGTTTGGCTTCATTGCGGAGTCTCTGTGCTTCGGTCTCATCTTGTCCGCTCTCCCGCTGAAGGCACAGGACGAGCACACACGGGATGCCACGGGCCTCCCACAGCACGCTGCGAGCGTTGCCAGCCTCACGCTTGGGCTGTCTCTCTGCATGTTGGACAGGGCTCTTGTGCCGTTGATTCTTTTCAGTTTCCTTATTGTTGTGCTGTTTTTGGCGGAGCGGAGCGGCAGTGCGTGGTATTCCATCCGTTTTAAGGCTCGCACTGGACGGTGCTTGTGGGGCAGAGCACTCCAAGCGGGCTGGCCGTGGTGGAAACCACGTTGGTGTGCATGACAGGCCGCCACATGCTCCTGTCGACAGGGGGGCACTGGGGCGACATGATGGTGGCTCGGGGGCGCGGTGCCGCTGACACCGAGCTGAATCGCACAAGGGAGATGCTTTGGGAGGCCTATGTGGTCGTCTCTGCGAACCGGAAGCAGCGATCTGCGGCGCACGGCGGCTGGTTTGTTGAGCGCGGCTGTATCGTGTTTGCGTGGTCTGGGCGTTGCGGAGAATTTGGCGTATCATTAGCATCACATTGGTTTGCACGTGGGGGGGGCACCTGTTTGTCATGGGCTGGCCGCCCGCACGTGTTCGCACAGCACCTTCATCTTCTGCTGGTTTACTGGCTGCTTGCGATCCCCTTATCTTGTTGGTAATTTGTTTATTTCTTTTTGCGTCGGACCATTGCTTTTGGCCCTTGCACGATGCGGTGTGAACCACTTTTCGGATGGAGGATTACAAGCACCTTATCCGCTCCAGGATTGAGAAGCAAAGAAGGGTCCACGGCCACTTTTTGGCGGAGAGGCGCGTGCTGGAGTTTGTGGAAACGTGATGCCAGGCATTTTGCCGAGGTCACGAGCCCCGAGAAGGGCCCTCCCTGCCGCATTTGCGCAGGAGGCGGAGGTGCCGGAGCACCCTGTGGTGGATCCGGAGCGAATTTTTGTTTGTGATTCGGAGGCCAATGGTGTGGAGTAGGGCCCTGATTGCCCTTTTAGGTTGGTCATCCCTAGGCTTGTTTGGCGGGTGAGTGCTGTCCTGGGCTCCACGCGCACTGCAGCATCCATATGACTGTCCCTACATATAAATACACTGATGCGTAATTGTGTGTGTGACTGCAACTCTTTCTTGAGCTGACTGCCTTTTTGTTCCCATTTCTTTGCTGCTGCTGCTGCTCCGGGGAGGGGAGGGTGAGGGAAGATAAGAAGTTGACCAGAAAAGCCCCACTTCTCATGTCTGTGTACTGCCGCGTGGCCCAGCCGCACATTCTGCTAAAGGCCCTTGCCGCCCTCACCATAGCGAAGGACTCGTGGGTCACTGTTGCCTTTACGGAGGGCGTTGTTGTGCTGCATGTTGAGGGGAAGGATCAGAGCATCACTGCCACCGCCAGACTCCCCAAGGCGCTGTTCTCTGAATACTCGGCGAAGGATGTGCGCTTTGCCGTGCACCTCGTCACTCTGCGCGACGCGCTGCTACTCGGTGGACCCGCCCTGTTGGCTCCTGTCGTCCTGGCGCGCGTTGTTCTGGCGTACCCGATGGGTGACGCCAGGTTGCTTGTTGAGCTGACGGACGGGGACTGCACGCTGCAGTCGACCCTCGCCACGCGGCCGGTGCAGGAGCGATTGCTGGACCTCCGCTTCGGAGAGACGAGTGTGGCGAATCAAATGGTGCTGCTCGGCGATGTGGCGCGCGATGCCATTGAGGACCTGGTCGCGGCACAGTGCCCCCACGCGGTCGTTGTGCTGGACCCTCGCAGCGGCGTGACGCTCCGCGGCGAGGGCGGCCCATACGGCGCGGTGACGGTGCAGTTGCAACGTTCCTCGGAGGCGATCCTGTCGGCGCTCGACGAGGGCACGCACGCGCACACCCGTGTCCTCCGGTCGCATCTTGCGCTTGCGTGCGGGGTGCGCCCCGGCGGCAAGTTGTGGCGCGCGTCCGGGGCGGTGGCGGACGTCGCGCCGGGGATGCAAGGAACTTCGGGCGGCGCCGCACAACCGACATTTGGTGGATTTGAGCGGCTTCTGTTCCAGGTGAACGAGGCGCGCCAGCTCAGTGTGGTGCACATGCCGCGGGATCATGACGTTCCAGTGACCGTGACTGTTACTGTGTCCCCTGCTCACGGCCTGTACGACGAGTGAGGAGCACCTTTTTGTTAGGGGTGTTTTCTTAGCCTTTGGTTTCTGTGTGTGTGTGTCCTTGTTTCTGGCTGTCGCTGATGCCGCGTTCTTGGTGCGTGAAAAGGTGAGAGGTGTTTCGGGCCTTGCCTCTCCCACAGAGCATACAAGTGTCTCACCACCAACAACTGTGAGGGACGCGTGCCGTCCGCTTCTTTCGCTGAGTGTGAGGTTTGCCA